CCAGTGGTGGCAGCGAGGCGGCAGGCGCCGGCAGCACGGGGGGGGGGGGGGCATCGCCCAGGTGCGGAGGCCGAGGGCCTCGCACTGGGCGAACGAGCTCGCGCCCGTGGATCCACGACCACGGGCGCCCGGAGACGCATAAGGAAACTCCGTCCTCCTCGTCGTCGCCATCGGCATCATCGTCAGGGAGAGGAGGGAGGGGAGGCCTGAGTGGCGAGCACGCTCCGCGCTACGCGGGCTTGCGCCACGACCCGCCTGAGGTCACAAGGCGAAGGCAGGAGAAGAAAACTGGTTGCTTTTCAGACCTCCAAAAAGTGTCGGAAACGCACCCCGAACGATGCGACAAAATGGAATTCCCGCCTGAAAAAAATAGGGCGGCTATTTCCGCAAAGGTGTGGCAGAAACAGAGACGGCAAAGTAGAATGGACATCGGCCTCAAAGGAGCTGGGAAAGTACGGTCGTGATTCCCCGCCCTGCTTGCGAAAGCGCCCCAAGCAGGCCGGATCCGAAGCCAGGGTGCGGTCGTGGACTTCTGCAGAGCGCGTCGCCGCGGCGGCCCCGGCGACGCGCTGTCCCTTGAGAGCAGACAGCGTGTCGCTCCGCTCCGCTGGGCGGGAGGCTCGCGAAAAAGGTCGGCGCGCTGACGCCTTGGGGGGTCGGCAAGCGGATAGCGCCTCGCGCCGAAGCGTGCCAGAGCCAGAGCCGGCCGAGCGACGCGCCGTCCACAGGCTCCCGCCCGCCCCCTCGAGCGGGTGCGGCCTGGCCGGCCGCAGCGCGGCGGCGACGGGGGTCGCCTCCTCCGCCTCTCCTCCTCCTCCCTCCTCCTCCTCCTCCTCCTCCTCCTCCTCCTCCTCCTCCTCCTCCTCCTCCTCCTCCTCCTCCTCCTCCTCCTCCTCCTCCTCCTCCCCCCCCTCCTCCTCCTCCTCCTCGTCGTCCTCCCCCTCCCCCTGCTCGTCCTCATCGTGCCTCCACCTCCTCCTCCTTGAAAAGAAGTTCTCCCTGTCGCACACCTGAGCGTGTCGGTAGGGCGGGCCGGGCATTTCGCCTGAGCCTTCCTCACCACTTATGCTTCTGAAGCTTCACTTTCGCAACAGGTTCACGACTGGATGGCGGGTGCTTTTCAAAATGTGGCTCTCGCATTAGCACCGCGCACAATCGTCTTAAAATTCGCAAGAGCTTCACATATGGAGGGCGGGTCGTTTTCAAAATGTGGCTCTCGCCTTAGCACCGCGCACACTCGTCTACAAAGTGTACAACAGGTTCACGGATGGAGGATGAGTCATCCTGAAGATGTGGCTCTCGCCTCAGCGCCGCGCACATTCGTCTTAAACATGTTGCACGAGCTTCGCGGATGGAGGGCGGGTCATTTTGAAAATGTAGCTCTCGCCTCAGCGCCGCGCACTTTCATCGTAGAAGAGTACAACAAGTGTAAAATTATCGTCCCAGAATTTGTCGTCCTGCACGATTTAGGATTGTCAGGGCGCATCAGTCACGTTGGTTCGCGGTGTTGAAGTCCAAAGAAATGTGTTCTGGAACGGTGCAGGATCGTCCGGCCGCAACAATCGAGTTGACTCGCGGCGTTTAAATCCAAGGAGCTGTGTTTATGACCGAGGATTATTAGACGGTTGTCTTCCAAAGGGGCCCTGCCAGCAGTGAGAATACAGTCTTGCAGGAACCAATGAAGAGGGAACTTGGAGGGAGGTTGTACTGCAATATCGCTGACGCGCAGGAGGAGGAGGAGGAGGAGGAGGAGGAGGAGGAGGAGGAGGAGGAGGAGGAGGAGGAGGAGGAGGAGGAGGAGTGAGGAGTGAGGCCGGGCAGCGTTTCCTCTCAGGCAGGCCTGATCAGGGGGGGCAACGGCCCGACGCGACTTTCGCGGCCACAGGGCCGAAGCGTGAGAGAGAAGAGCCCGTCTTTTAGCCCTGGGAGGCCCAGCTTCGCGCTTCGCGAAGGCACCATACCAGAGGGTATATTGAGCGCAGGAGACTGTTTGAGCGACGACTGTTTGAGCGCGAGGAAAAAGGATGACCAAGCATGGCCGCGAGGACTGTTTGAGCGACGAGGAAAAAGAGCTTCGCGCTTCGCGCTGCGCGACGAGCGACGCGCGGTTATCTCCGCGCCCTCGCGCCGCCGCCACCCCCTGGAAAGAAACCTTTCGTAGGGGGGCCACACGCGAGCCCTGCCCCTGCCCCCCGCGATTTCTGAGGGGGAGGGGGAGGAGGAGGAGGGGGAGGAGGGGGAGGAGGGGAGGGGGGAGGAGGGGGAGGAGGAGGAGGGGGAGGGGGAGGAGGGGGAGGAGGGGGGGAGGAGGAGGGAGAGGAGGAGGAGGAGGAGGAGGGAGGAGGAGGAGGAGGAGGAGGAGGAGGGGGAGGGGGAGGGGTGGGGTTCGCGTGTGGCCTCCCATCTCTGGCCCAGCTCGCGACGTGCGACGAGCAGTTCCCTTCGCGCCCCTCTGGGTGGTGACCTTGGCAACCCGCGCCGTGATCCGACACCGTGGCGGTCAGATCTGGGAGCTCGACGGAAAGAATCTGCAGGGAATGCTGCCATGCGGAACTTCTCTCCGCGACCGCGACGACGGGCACCCCTTGCTAACTCAGAACCACTTTTTCTTGTTCTCTCTCTCTCTCTCTCTCTCCCGCGTAAATCAGCACATGTATGAGCGTCAGCACTTCACGGGCAGGAAGCACTTCGTGTTGCGATGTGAAGTGCACGCTCACACACCACGACGTCCAGTTCGTGGATCTCAGAGCCAGAGCTGTGGAACTAATGCTCTCATGCGAAGCTTGCCTCCACAAAAGAGAACGCGGCCTCACGCTGCTCAGAAGCTCCTACCTGAAGGAGGGAGGTGTGGTGAACGCACGCCGGTGAAGGCATCGCTGCCTCCTTGTGGTCATCTTCTCCTAACAACCCTCCGACAGCAAACCCAGCATGCCCAAGGTGCTTAACGTAAAAATTCAAGTACTGGACGCCCTCATTCGTGACCCCATAGGCAACTTTGATTTGCACCTTCCCGAACTTGACCCACATCGGCTTCTCGTGGGCCTCGCCGCGAGCTTGGAAGCGGAGGCCTCCCGTGTACGACGCCTCCGCCCACGCCCCCGTGACATTCAATTCCTGGAAGTACAGATCTGCGCACTGTCCACCCAATCGACGCGCGTCAGCCTGTACACGGAGCAGCGCGTTCTCGGCGAGCTCTTCCTTGGGGATTTGAATCAAGACGTATTTACCAGGCCTCATCAAGTCGAACCGCTCACCATGCACGTTCTGCAAATGCGGATCGCCGGTGGCAGAGATGGCGCCTGACGGCACTCCAGCGGCTCCAGCCATTGCGGGTGCTCCAGCGGCTCCAGCCATTGCGGGTGCCCCACCAGCTGCGCCCATGGAGGGCGCCGAGCCGGCTGGGGGCGGGGGGCTGGGCGTAGGGCTGGGCGTCGGGTGATGCGTAGGGCTGGGCGTAGGGCTGGCCGTAGGGTTTGGCGTGGGGCTTGGCGTCGGACTGGGCGTAGGGCTGGGCGTAGGGCTGGGCGTAGGGTGAAGCGTAGGGCTCGGAGTTGGGCTTGGCGTCGGGTGAAGAGTAGGGCTGGGCGTAGGGCTGGGCGTAGGACTGGGCGTGGGGCTGGGCGTGGGGCTGGGCGTCGGGCTGGGCGTCGGGCTGGCCGTCGGGCTTGGAGTGGGGCTTGGCGTCGGACTGGGCGTAGGGCTGGGCGTAGGGCTGGGAGTAGGGTAGGGCGTCGGGCTGGCCGTTGGGCTGGGCGTAGGGCTGGGCGTCGGGCTGGGCGTCGGGCTGGCCGTCGGGCTTGGAGTGGGGCTTGGCGTCGGACTGGGCGTAGGGCTGGGCGTAGGGCTGGGCGTAGGGTAGGGCGTCGGGCTGGCCGTCGGGCTTGGCGTCGGGCTGGGCGTCGGGCTGGGCGTCGGGCTGGCCGTCGGGCTGGGCGTGGGGCTGGGCGTGGGGCTGGGCGTCGGGCTGGCCGTCGGGCTGGGCGTAGGGTAGGGCGTCGGATAAGGCGTAGGGTAAGGCGTAGGGCTGGACGTCGGGCTTGGTGTTGGGCTGGAAGTCGGGCTGGGCGTAGGGTAAAACGTTGGGTAGGGCGTAGGGTATGGCGTTGGGCTGGCGGGGCACACTAACACCAGTTCATTCCATGAGCCATCCTCCACCCGTACGAATTTGTTCGAATAGTCGCAATGGTTCCAACGTGGATCCAATTGGCTAGCTGCGCATTTCTGGTAGAACGCTGGTCGATTTTGGTTCAGCACAAGCTCAGCAACATTCCATTCCGCTTCCGTAGCGTGGCGCAACGTGGGGCAAAACGACGAGTACGTGGAAAAGGCATTGAGCGAGGAGCACCCGCCAGAGCACGGAGAAGCCCACAGGTAGCAGAGGCCGTTCACGTAGTAGCAATAATCCTCCACGCCTGTAGCAATGGCTCGACGATTGGCACCTGCAACGCCGTGCTGCCAGCACAGGTTCCAATGCGACGGCTTCGAATACCCCGTGATGGTGATGTCCGATTTTGGCCTGCTGAACCGGGTTGCTCTATTGTACTTAAGGGAGTCGTTGAACGCGATGTCGCAATGGTAGCCCGAGTCGGTGCTGCCCAACTCTATCGGCACAGATGGATTCACCATCACCTTGCAACTGCCCTCGCCAGAGCCAACGAGACACTCATCCTCGACGCTGCACTTCATGTCACCACGTGTGCTGACTCCCACTAACCACTCATTGCCGGCGTCAGTGTCAGCCGAAGCTACCTGGCCGACGATACCAACGCCCAGTTGCATAGCTTGGGCACGGACGAATATGAAGCATGCTGGCGCGAGAGAACTGATGCTAGGCATCCTGCCGCGTGAAGGTTTGCTCGTGAGCAAGGACCGTGGATGTGCGTTATGCGGAATCCGCGAAGATGACACCAATGAATGTCTTGAACCAAAACGGCAACAGGCTCACTCAGAGCCGCTGTTTGAGGGAAGTGGGGCCAACACGCGCTAGTGAAGGCGTCGCTGCCTCCTCGTCGTCATCCTCTTCGAGCTACTAGCAGCATTCCGACGGCAAGCCTGGCTTGGCATGATCAAGGTGCATGGCGTATTATCCACCACCGTACCCTCAGCACGCTGGGCCGTGCTAGAACACTTGCTATTATGGTTGGGTTTATGTAGCTTTCCAAGACCAACCTCCCCCCCCTTTCGCGAGGCCCGAAAACCGCGGCTCAAGTTCACTTCTGGCGCCCCATGACGGCTCCAGGACGGCCCAAGACCGCCCCAAGAGCAGCTCAGTTCGCAGCGCACAGTGGGGATGGGGGGGGCGAGCTTGGGTCTCCGTAGGACGTCACTCCCTATCCCCCCCCCAGCAACTCGCGATAGCGGAGACAGTTGCGCAATTGGCAGCGCCCAGGGAGGGGAGCAATAAGCTGGGTCAGCGTAGAATGTCGCTCCGCCAAACCTTCCAGGAGCTCACGAAAGTGGCGTCGATCGGGCGATTGGAAAGCGCGCAGCGAGGAGAGTAATAAGCTGGGGCCGCGTGAAACTTCAGTATGCTGGGCCCCCTAGCAGCTCACAAAAATGGCGACGGTTGCGCAGTTGGCAACGCGCAGGGAGAAGGCAGAAACGCAAGTCCGCGTAAGGCGTCGCTCCGCTGCACCTCCCGGCAGCTCACGAAAGTGGCGACGGCTGCACAGCTGGCAGCGCACAAGGAAGGCAGCACCGGTAGGTCCGCGTGAGGCGTCGCTCCGCGGTGTCTCTCCCAGCAGCTCACGAGAAGTGGCGACGGCTGCGCAGCTGGCGGCGCCCAGGGAAGACACTCCGCCGAGCTCCGCGGGCCCGGGGGGGGGACGGCATGTGAAAGGATTGGCTGTCCTCCTCTCTCTCTTCCCACTCCGAAGGGGTCCAAAATATCGTTAGATAGGGGGGGAAGCGGGGCTTGGGAGTGCGGGGGGGGGGGGCGGAAAGGCTCGCCAACGCACCTCCAGGGCCATGGGAGCCTCCAAATGAACCATCCGTGGCCTCCAAGATGCCCCAAAATGCCTTCCAATATTGATCAAGAAGGGCTCCAACACGACGGAGAGGACTCAAGAACAACCACGTGGCCTCAAGACTGCCCGAGGGGTCCCCAAGACACCCCAAGAGGGCCGCAAGAGAAGCCCAATGAGGGCCTCAAGACACACGGAACATATATTTCGCAAAGCGTGTGTACGTGTTTGGCGTTCTCGCATGTTCAAGCTTCTGCAAGCTTGAGGCGGCATGCGGCTCCTCCGACAAAGAAATATGTTCAGGCAACTATCATTCGCCCTCCAGGAACTGCCCCAATACGCTCTGCAACATTCCCTGCTGACTCCCTCAAGGAGAGTAATTTAAACATGTCGGCTTTGAAGCGAGACTAAGGAATCAGAGAATGGTTGGATTCGATTTGTGTTCGGGATTCGGTTTTCTGCTACGTATGGGGCCAACGGGACCAGGCGGACAGCGACGACGACGACGACGACGACGACGATGAGGGCGACGAGGACGAGGGGGAGGAGGAAGAAAACGACGACGAGGGGGCGGAGGGCCAGCACCCCCATCCGTCCTATCGGCCCAAGCCAAGAGCAAGGGCAGAAGAAAGGAACGCATCGGAGTCACATTGGAACCATATTGACACAATCTTGGGGTCGTCAAGTAGGGTTTGAAAAGGGGGTCATCTTGGGGCAATCTCGAAGTCGTCTTGGGCTCATGGGGTCGTCCCAGGGTCACCTAACATCGGGGTCACGCGGTAGCCTTAGTTCAGTCGGAACACAATGGGTTCGTCCCGGTGTTCTCTTGGGGCCGCAGGGTCGCTCTGGGGTCATATTTGGGTCATCGCTTAGCAGGGGTGGGCATCTTGTGGCGACAGGGGTAATCTCGTGATCCTTTCAAAACCCTGTCGGGTCCATCTTGGAATCATCGTTCCGTTGCTGCCTCTCTCGCTGCTGTTGCTACTGATGTTGCTGTTGTTGCTGGCGTCGATGCTGCTGGTGCTGCCTGGGCTGCCCGTGGTGCTGGTGCTGGTGCTGTGTAAAATGTCGGGCCCTCTTGGAGCCATCTTGGGGCCCTCGCGGGGGCCTTCTGGGCCTCTTGGGGCCCCGCGGGAGCCCTCTGACGGCCCTTGAGAAGCTTCCGAGAGGGCCACGAATTCAATACACATGTAAGACAAACCGCCTCCTTATTGGAGAGCGTCTTGTGTTAAATTTGTGTTGAAAAACTGGGTGCTCTTGGAGCCATCTTGGGGCCCTCGCCCTCTTGGAGCCCTCTGATGCCCTAAGAGGCCTCCAAGAGGGCCAATAATTCAACGCACATGTGAGACAAACCGCTTCTTCAGGGGAGAGCGTATTGTGTCAAGTTTGTGTTAAATTCCGGGCCTTTTTAGAAAACCCCAACAAAGGCCCAAGAGAGACTCAGGAAGGCCCCAAGAGAGAATCTGTTTTAGCTTCCTCGCGGGGGGGCCACCTTGTATCCGCTCTTTGTACAACTGCTTGGCGGCACGCCCCTCACGCGCTTCGTGGCCCCATGGGGAGCTCCACCAAAAGGCTTCGGTGTCTGCGCTCGCGCGGCGGCACCGCGCGCGCGTTGGCGCGCCCCCCCCCCCCCGCGCTTCGCGGCCTCGACCGAGAGCCCCTCTGGCAGCGTTTGCACGGCGGCACCGCGCCCACGTCGGCGCGTTCGCGACGCGCACGAAGCGGCGCAGGAGGGAGGCGACGGACCTCGCCAAGGACCTGGGCTTCACCGAGTTCATCGCGAGGCCTGACCTGGGGAGCGGCCCGACCGAGCCTCGCCTCCGGCCTCGCGCCACGGACGATCCGCGCGCTTCGCTGGGATCATTTTTGGAGCGGCCAGCGCACGTCGCAAGGGCCCCCCTGCGCTCTGCCTGCAGGAGCTGCCGCGCGCTCTGCCTGGCGCCTCGCCCGTCGTCAGCCGCTCGCGATTCCCCCCCGTCGCGCCGCGGACGACCCGCGCGCGTAGCTGGGGCTCCTTCGGGGCGACCGGCGCGCGCAGCTGGGATCTCCGCGCGGCGTGGCCCAGCGCCGCGGCCATGGGGCGCCGCGGAGGGCGCGGCCCCCCCGGCCACCTGGCGGGGCGGTCGTTCTTCCGGCCGTGCCTCCATCTCCTCGACGACGGTTTCGTGGAGCTCCTGGGAGTTCATGTCCTGCCGCTTCGCGTTACTGAGGACGCCCGCCCCCCGAGGCACGCCCGCTGGCAAAACCTTCTCGTCGCTAGGCCGCGCGGCGGCCAGCGCTCCCGCTGGCACGCAGGCGTGGCTCCCGCCCCGAAGGATCGCGCGGGACATCGCCGCTGCTGACGCGCTCCTCCAAAGGCTGCCTCCCAGTTCCCCCGCCAGCGCGCGGGCGTGGCCCCTGTCCCGAAGGGTCGCGTGGAGCCCCCATCGCTGCTTGCGCCCTCCTCCATGGGCTGCTTCCTGGCCAGCCAGCGCGCGGGCGCGTCCGAGCGAAACGCCCTGCGCTCGCCGTCGAACTTGATATGCGCCGCGAGCTCCCGTCCTCTGCGTAGTCGCCTGACGATCTCCGCTGGCGCGAGCTTGGCCGCCCGCGGCCAAGAGGCCCCCTCCTAGCTCCTTGCGGGGCCCGTCGACACTGCAGGGTCAGGCGCGCGCGCGGGCCCTGGGGGCGGTCTTTCCACGACGAGGCCGTCTCCGCTACGTCCAGGCGCTTCCGCCCAATCGCCATTTCGCTTGCTTCGCCGACCAAGCCACTCTCGCCTCCGATGGACACGAGGTCGCCCCGCGTCTTTGGGTCCCGCCCCTGGGAAACCGAAGCCGCCGACGAGGATGGCCCCGACGAGGGCGGCCCGCCTCCTGCGTCGCCCCGAACCGATCGCCTCCACTTGGCGGCGCGCGCAATGGGGGGGGGAGGGAGGGGGGAGGTTTCATAGAAGGCGCCTGCCTCTGAGAAGGCGCCGGCCGCCCTTCAAGGAAGCCAGGGGCGCGCCGCTTCTTAGGGGCACTCCGGCAGCTTCTTAGCATCACGGCGCTGCCCCGTTAGTAGCAAGGACAACTCATACGTAGCACCCCGCAATTGCGGATAAGAGTGAGGGGGCGGGCGCGGGCGACGCGGGCGTCGAACCGGCGGACCTCGTGGCCCTCACCTTCCCTGTCGATGGCGCCCTCCTCCTCCTCCTCCTCCTCCTCCTCCTCCTCTTCCTCCTCCTCTTTCTCTACATTATCCTTGCATCCTCTCTTCTTCCGCGTCCTCCTCGTCCCCTGTTTACTCATCTGCCTCGCCCTTCTTTCTCAAGTAAACGGCAAACCCATCCTCTGTTCCACTGAATGCTCCTCGACTTCTCTGATCCAGGCAACTCGCCAGGGTAAAGTTGCTGTATGGGTTGGTGTGGATAAGCGGAGCTTGAAGAGGTCTTGGGGGGCTCAGACGGCTTGCAAAACATGATCGGACAAGAACGGGAAGCGCCGCTGTAGTCAAATGGGCGTATTGGGCGAAGAAGAAAAGGAAGGCGAGGACAACGAGGAGTCGATGACAAGGACGACGTGGCGAACGTGAGGATAGCGAGGAGGAGCATGAGGACAACGAGGAGGAAGAGAAGCACGAGGACGAGGACGAAGAGAACGAGGGCGAGTACGAGGAGGAATGCGGAGGGCGATGATGACGACGACGACGACGACGACGACGACGACGACAGAGGACAGTACGAGGCAATTGGAGAAAGACGTTGCTCCTGGCGCCGCGCTGGGTTCTCTTGGGGCCTGTCGGGGGCTTCTTGGGGGCCCCTTGGGTCCTCTTATGGGCTTCTGGGGTCTTCTTGGGCTGTCTGGGCGCGTCGTGGGGTTCTGTGGGAGCGTTCTTAAGCCGTCTCGGCGCTGGGGGCCTCCTGGGACCCGTCCGGGAGTCTCTTGAGGCCCTCTTGGCCCTTCTTGGGCCGTCTTGGGGTTCTTGTGAGCTGTCTGGGTGGCTCCTAGAGCGCTCTTGGAGAGCGATTCGAACACGACGTCGATGCGGGGTCCCCTCGTGGGCCGATTTTTGGAGGATGTCTCGAGAGAAGCGGCCATTTTTCAAAAATC